CGAGTGTTATGTATTAACTTAGCCTGTATAAAGCGAGTGTTATGTATTAACTTAGCCTGTATAAAGCGAGTGTTATGTATTAACCGCTTTATACAGGCTAAACTATAATTAATGTTCCTGAGTTCATCACATGAACGAGAAGTTGGAAATGTTAGATTTTACGCATGGAGCGAAGGTTCAGGTTTTAAGTAAGACAAAAGTTAATACATAACACTCGCTTTATACAGGCTAAGTTAATACATAACACTCGCTTTATACAGGCTAAGTTAATACATAACACTCGCTTTATACAGGCTAAGTTAATACATAACACTCGCTTTATACAGGCTAAGTTAATACATAACACTCGCTTTATACAGGCTAAGTTAATACATAACACTCAAAAATTAGACACCCAGTGTTGTTCGATTCCTTTAGTAATGTCAATAAATAGATGAGTAAAGCTCTAGCTAATGGATAAGAATAGTTGTAAGGCTCGTGCTGTACTTTTAGTCTATTTCAACTAAAGCATGAGTTGTATATAGTGTACATATCCTTAGATGTGTTCGAAAGTTAACTTATCAGATTTGAAATTAATGACTTGTCTGGATAAATAGTTTAAATAGTATCTATATTTTTATATTGTTTGGTAATCTCAAATATAAAGCTTTATTTTTTTTTCTCTTTGTTTGATTATCTACCGGATGTTTCAAATGTTGCTTACGCTGTGCAGGGGACAGTATTCAGGAAGCAGATGGACACAGTGTTGAGAAACTTGGTGTGTAGATCAGTTTGGTTGTGCAGAAAACAACGTACATTGTTCTTTTATACCTCAAGATACCATGTGATGTGATGTCATCATAACACACCATACAGATGTAACTGGTGCGATGTCATTCATAACACACCATACAGATGTAACTGGTGTGATGTCATCATAACACACTATACGGGTTGAACTGATGTAATGTCATCATAACACACCATACAGATGTGAACTGTGATATCATCATAACTCACCATACGGTGTGAACGTTGGCTTCAGCACGGTCAAATTGGTCTACACGCCGCATTTGACATCACTGTGTCAATCGGATTCCGAAACGTAGGTGTTTGAAAGGCGAACTTGGTTTCTGAAACACCCAGTTGTATATGTATATTAGGTCGTCAAGAAATTAATGTCGCGTTTTGGAACACTTTCATTAACCACCCCCAAAATACATACATCACGTATAATAGTTAAACGAACCGCTTAAGCCTCGCGTTTAGTGTAGTCTATATAATGTGTAAAGTTTAGTATACTTCAATCCCTTATAGTGATGGCACACAACGAGCCACACATTCGGCATGTAATGCTGTTTGAATACAAGAAGGGAAACAACGCCTATGTAGCCACAAAGAATATCAAAGAAGCTTATGGAAATGTTTTGAACGTTCGTAAGTGTCAACGATGGTTCAGCAAGTTTCATTCATGTGACTTTAGCCTTAAAAACTGTGATGGCAGGGGCCGACACGTCAGAATTGATATTGATGCTCTGAAGACGCTTGTTGAGTGTAACCCAAGGCAACACACTAGTGAAATGGCCCTGAAATTACACGTCTCTCATGAAACAATATGTAAACATCTAAGGAATACGGGAAAACTCCATAAAGAAGGTGTTTGGGTGTCTCACGAACTCTCCGATGATCATCGTTTACAACATGTGAACGTAACTTCGTCTCTTCTGGCGCGTAATGCGCGTGAACCATATTTGGACAGAATTGTCACCGGCGATGAAAAATGGATTCTCTATGAGAATATTAAACGCCAAAAAACAATGGCTCAGTCCTAGACAAAATCCACTTCCGACCCCAAAACCTGGACTCCATCCGCAGAAAGTGATGCTTTGCATTTGGTGGGACATCAAAGGAGTAATTCATTTCGAACTCCTCAACCCACAGCGAACTGTGAATGCAGAGATCTATAGTCAGCAAATGAAACGTCTAAATCAAGCCCTTCATCAGAAATGCCCTTCACTGTTCAATCGGAAGGGTGTTCTTCTTCTCCACGACAATGCACGTCCACATGTGGCGCGTTTGACGCAACAAAAGATTATGGAGTTTGGTTGGAAGTTCTCCCCCACCACCATACTCT